TTTATAATATATAAAAGACTCTTATTAATATACAAGCAAAAAAAATCAACATAGTTTTATTTACTATATATAAATAAAACCATTTTCACATTTAAAATTTCATTTGCTAACCTAGTTCTTATTTGAACATGATTTTCCACCATGACATTTGCTTGAACAACTTCCTCCTGTTCGCTTGCATTTACACCTATTGCTATTACATGATCCTTTGCAATTACAAATACTATTTGATAATGGTCCTGCACTTTGAAGCCTTGCTGCCTCTCGAACAGACAACATATATGAGGGAATCTCATCAAGATCAGAGTAAGCAATAGTTCCAAGAGGTTCAAGTTCACCAGATGTATAGCAAACATTAATAATAACGAATTTACATGCTACTTAATATTTGTCATTAACTATACCTATAATCTTGCAAGGGATTGTAAAGCCGATCAGTGCCAACTCGATCAATTTTGAAAACACCTATACGCACGAGATCACCAACATGATAATCAACTATTTTTCTTTTTTTTAGCATCTGATTCATTATTGCTTCAGTATAAAGCTCAAGATCCCATTGTACTGCATTTCATAAGTATTCATGAGGTGTTGTATTTGTAATATCTGCAAAGACAGAATTATCTCCATTTCCTGCTTTATAATAATTTAAATCGGTTAAAATAAAAAGTAAATAGCAATAATAAATATGACTTGCCCAAAGTGCTGCTACTATTAATGTTAACTAGTTGTTGGTATGAAGAATTTATATTTTTATCTAGAAATAGTAATTTAAATTAGTATATACGTATGTATATACATAAAAAAAAAAGAGTAGAGTAGCAAGTATAAACAAGTATAAACTTGCCAAAAGTAGAGCTACTATAATTTAAATTCTGGTATGAAGGTTCTGAGCCTTAACAAAAAATAAAATTATCAAAATATAATTGCAAAAAAAAAAAAAAAGAAATTAATAGTATGTATTATAAACTTACTTAAAAAATTATCACTATTATTTAGTTGCCATTGTCTTGAACTTATAACTAAGAATAGACATACAGTACATATCAGGTATAAACAATACGTACGTACGTAACAATAAGATAAAACAATATAAGGAACTTGCTTGTACTACTGCTAATATCTGGTTGCTGTTGTGAAAATCCCAAGCCGTTGTCATAGAATAGAAAAATTAATACTATAATAAAAAGAATTTTAAACAAATATAAACCTACCTGTAGTGCCATTATCCAATTGAATATTTGAAGGTTCTGAATCTGAATTTATATTTGAAACAGTAGCTTAGTACGTATTATAAAAAAAAAAAAAAATTATAAATTTATCTAAAATACTATTATCACTGTCATTTATTTGCATGCATAAAGGTCTCAAGCATTTATCTAGAAATATAAGTTAGTAATAATAATAATAATAATAAACGGATACAAATATGAACTTATTTCAAAGTACTATTACCATAATTCGATTGCTGATATGAAGATAAGGTTTCATCTAGAGTTTAAGACATAATAAAATTATATTAAGCTTCTGCTACTGTTCATTATTAGATGCTAGTTTAAAGGCTTTTTATTTACAAATTAATAGTGTAAGTTAACAAGAATAATATTGTACATAGAAAAATAAATTGTATATTAATTTATTACCTAAAACATTATTACCATGATCTAGTTGGTGGTGTAATAATCTTGAACTTCTGCCTATATATGTATGTATAAATTGCACTATATATTACAATTTAACAATTATAATAGACAGTATGTATTAGAATATGTATAAACTTATCAAAAATATTATCACTACTGTCTAGTTGCTGACGATATGAAAATTCTGGGCTTTTATCTAAAATTTAAACTATAAGCTAATGATAATAAAAGTAATAATAATCGTTAATATACTATATTAACCTACCTGAAATACTATCTCTAATATCTCATTGATAGTATAAATGGTTTTGGCTTCTATCTACAAATTTAAAGTATGTTAATAATAACAATATACTGTAAATAAAGCATATTCAATATTGTATTAATTTACCTAAAGTATAACTTTTATTATTTAATTCCGGGGTTCTTTCTAAAAATAATAATATTAAGTTAAAAAATATAATAAATATCAGCTTAAGGTGCTCTTGCTATGCTAATATGAAAGTTCTAAATCTTCATCTAAGAATACACGACGTATATTAATAAAATTAAATAAATAAATTATCATTAAAAAATGTAAACCCATCTGTGTTGTTTAATTTTTGAGATAGAGATTCTGGGCAGTATAAAAAAATTAATAATTCAATAATTCAATAATTAGAAAGTTATTTAATATATAATACTTACCACTTATATCATTATCAAAATTTATAACAGAATCACTTTGAATATCAATAGAATCAGGAATTTTTTCTTCATTAAGAATGTTTCTTTCAAACAGATCATTAACTAGTATGCAATTACTATATGGCTTATCACTATAGACAAGTTCATAAGGGGTCTTCTTATATGATTGGCACCACGAAGTATTCATTGTCATGATAACAAATCGTAAGCCAAATGACCAATTACTACGACTAGTTTCCTCCTTCTACTTGCCCAACTTCTGTTCTAATATCCCATTGGCATGCTTTACAAGACCCTGAGACTAAGGGTGTCTAGGACGCCTATTAATGATCTTTGTTGAAGGCCATAATCCAACTAACTCTTTAATCACTGCTGCACAAAACTCCTTTTCGTTATCCAACTGAAGTATTAGAGAAGATGATCCTATTAAATTAAAAAGATCAAATAGGTAAGCTGCAACTTCAATTGCTTGTTTGAAGGTAAGTGCTTTCACTCAAGAAAAACAAGTAAAATGGTCATGAATGTGATATATATATTTGAATTCATTATCTGGGTCAAAGATCATGTTGATTAAATCGATCTAAAAAAAAAAAAAAAATTTATTTAAAAAGAAAAAATAAAAACAGAACGATTGCACAATAAAAAAAAATTTTTTCTATTTTAAAAATAGAGTAATTGCACAATAAAAAAAAAATGTTTATTTAAAAAACAAAAACTAAACAATTGCACAATTAAAAAAAAAGAGTAAATGGTATAATACTTAGACACGTGACAAAAACTTTTTCGCGATAATCGGTTTAGTAGCTAGAGAGTGAAAAGTTGGCTTCCTAACTGCACAAATAGTGCAATTATTCACAAATTGTTCTATAATATCTTGTCTAATCCATCCCCACCTTTCTCTTATTGTTTTCCAGATTTGTTTTTGCCTGCCGTGTTGTGTTATTTGGCCATGAACTTGGCAAAGTGTTTCATACATATTTTCTGTAATAAGAACCGGGTTATTGGTAGCTTTTACAATAATATAAAAATCGCCAGGAACTATTTCTTCAAGTCGGAAGTGCTTTTTAGCCCATACACATGTATTTTTGTTATAAAGAGAAGAATTTTGTGAGTCCTTTAAAATATGCTTTATTTTATTCAACAGTTCATGATTAATTAAAGCCTTTTTACGCTTTAGTTTCGGAAGACTAACTATATAATTTTTAAGAATCTAGTTAAGAGTACTTCTGCTAATAAAATTATATTCCATTAATGAACTTTTAAAAAATATGATCATACCGATTTAAAAGATTTTAACAGGATAATAGTTCGATTTCAATATAAAAGATTTTGCCACAGTCGATTCCAATATTCAAAAATATAACACACCAATATGATAAAAGTATTTATTTGTATTTTTTTTTTACTACTTTATTACTTTCGTTATCTAGAAGAAAGAGTTAAGAAATCGATTCATTTATACAATTTTTTCTTTTATTTAATCTTACTATGCTCTTATTAATTATGTCGTAATTATTACATATTTAATTGGCAATATAAAAGTTATTGTGATTATATTTCTGATAAGTATATTAATCATGCAGTTTCTCATACTTATTTAAGTATTTTAACATCTAATATTTTTTTTAATTACACAAATATTGCTTCAGGTAATAACTGAGGCACCTTAGGTGACGGATTGATAGGTTACGCACCTCACATTGACAATCAACATCTGAGGTACCTCAGTTATCACCCAAGGCAATCATCGATCTAAGGCACAACATATATACAACAACAAAGACCTATTAATATAACTAGGTAAATGCATAGCATTGTTTGTCTGGAACTTAATTTTAATTTTTTGCTATATAAATTTTGTTGAAATCTGGAGTTTCTCAAAGAAAACCTTTTTCTTTACTAAGTAAATATCTTTTCAAGCTCTAAGTAAAGTTGTAGAAGAGTTTCTTGTTATCAAAATAGCAGTTAAAACGGTAAAATCGGCCTAGTAGATCGCGAGATATAAGTACTTTAGTCTTCGCAACTATATGTTTTCTTCTTTATTTATAAAGAAGAAACATATAGTCGCAAAGACTAAAGTACTTATATCTTGCGATCTACTGGGCCGATTTTAATGGTTTAACCGCCATTTTGATCGCAAGAAACTCCTCTACAACTTTATTTAAATATTAAAAAAAAAGGTTTATTTAGTAAGAAAAATTTTTTTCTTTGGTAAACTCTTAATTCTAAATGCAATAATATCCAATGCATCAAGAAAGTAACTTTTGTATAATAGCGAACAGACGGAAAATGCAAAGTTACTTTTTTGATATTTTAAAATTCAATGCATCAAGAAAGTAACTCTTGTATTACAATACATAAAAATTAAAGGTTTGTCACTTCATTCCAGACAATAACTTACTAGCTACTATCAATTTTCTTTTTAATATGAATAAATAGTAGTTGAGTCTCAGACCTCAACCATGTTTTGAGCTCATCAATTAGAATGTATACAATCTTGCTAGACATTAATACTGTTAACTCTAGGTTGGAGCAACAATGATGATCTATTAAAAAAATATATATAGTAAAAGGTACTATTAGTTTGTCTTCAGTAAAAAAAAAACAAATGACTTTTTTTTTAAAGATTTCTTTTCTATAAAGGGAGTTGAACTCTCAAAACCCAAAGAAATGAAAACTGGAATTGGTGGTATAAGCCTAAAACCCAAAAGAGTAGAATTGGGTTTGAAAAACTCTGAAACCCAAAAAAGTAGAGTTGGGTTTGAAGAACCCGAAACCCAAAGGAGTAGAGTTGGGTTTAAAGAAACCTAAACCCCAAAGAAGTAGAGTTGGATTTAGAATAAACCTCGACACCTGAAAAAGTAAAAGTTAGAATTGGTGATATGAACTCTGAAATCCAAAAAAGTAAAAATTAGATTTAAAGAAACCTGAAATCCAAAGAAGTAGAAGTTGGGTTTAAAGAACCTGAAACCTGAAAGAGTAGAAGTTGGGTTAAGAACCCCAAAACCTGAAGAAGTAAAACTTGAGTTTGAAAAACCCTGAAATTCAAAGGAGTAGAAATTAGGTTTGAAGAACCCTGAAATCCAAAGGAGTAAAAGTTGGGTTTAAAAACTCCAAAAAAGTAAAGCTAATCTCCCAAAGTAGAATGAAATCTTAAAGAAGTTTATAGTAGAAAAAAAATAACTTTATACCTACCTCCTATTATAATTATTAAAAGTAAGCAGTATACTCTTGAAGTGAAAATATATAATGCAAGTAGGTAGTATACTTTTGAAATGCTGTATATTTCACAGTCTCAAAGGTTCAAAGTTAGATAAGCATTGGAAGTAAAAAAATATAATATGTACTCTTGAAGTGCTATATATCTTACAGTTCCAAAGGTCCAAAATCAGATGAATATTGGAAGTGAAAAAATATAATGCGAGTAGGTTTGAAGTACTGTATATCTCATGGTTCTCAAAGGTCCAAAGTTATATAAGCATTGGAAGTGAAAAAATATAATACGTACTTTTAAAATGCTGTACTCTCATGGTCTCAAAGGTCCAAAATTAGATAAATATTAGAAGTAAAAAAATATAATATGAGTAGGCTTGAAATACTATACATCTTATAGCCTCAAGAGTCCAAAATCAAATAAGCATTAGAAGTAAAAAATGTAATATGTACTCTTGAAGTGCTGTACTCTTATAGTTCCAAAGGTCCAAAATTAGATAAATATTAGAAATAAAAAAAATATAATATAAGTAGGCTTAAAGTACTGTACGTCTTACGATCTAAAGATTCAAAGTTAGATAAACATTAGAAGTGAAAAAATATAATACAAGTAGGCAATATACTCTTGAAATACTATACGTCAAAGTCAGATAAATGTTGGAAGTAAAAAAATATAATGTGAGTAAGCAATGTACTCTTGAAGTGCTATATGTTAAAGTCAAAATAAATGTTAGAAGTGAAAAAATATAATGCAAGTAGGCTTGAAGTGCTGAACATTAGGAAAAAAATACAACACGAATAGGCAATATACTCTTAAAATGAAAATATAATAACATAAATAGGTAAAAAAAAGTAAAAAGTAAAACTAAGTTTAGAAAAGTGCTCATATATCTGGTTATATAGCAAAAAAAATATAAATATCAGTAAAATCGTATTGTGTTTTGTAAATAATATGATTTTTGATATTGATCTACATACTACATAAATTGTAATCTTGATATATATGTAAAAAACTAGTGTTTAAAAAGAAATTTAATATAAAAAAAATAAAAGTATATCTTTATTTTTAAAAAATAATATATATCCTAAGAGAAGGAAGAAGGAATTAAATAGATAAAGAAAAAAGCAATATAGAAAAAAATAGAAAAGACAGAAAATGAAGCGATAGATGAATAATAAAGACACAAAAAGGAATTTTTGCCATTTTTTGTAAACTATAGCGCTCATTTGCCTTAGTATTTTCAGGAGCAACAGTTTCATTTGCAAGATCTTTTTTTTTTTATCTAAAATTTATAAATTTTTATTTTAAATAAATATAAATTTAAGCCCAATAAAAAATATAATATAATAAGCCTAAAAAAAATACTTGCAGATGATTCTGTTATTTCTCTGTAGCTCTTTGTTTGTATTATAGTTCATTGTTTTGTGATCATAATGAATTAGTGATTGTCCTTGTCAAATATTTATCATTTCTATTATTAATAAAAAAAGATACTATTTTTTAATATTTTTTAAAAAGTTGGAGATTATACAAAAATCAATTGAATAAAACTTTAAATAATCTTTTCTGAAGATGATATGTATAAAAACTTTTTATTACTATTATTACCCCAGAATATTTGCTTCATATAACTCTGAAAAATCTTTGTATAGATATAAACTGTATATTAAGATTAATATAGTTGGTAAAAGAATCGCCACCATTAACAATATTATTATTATAATTCATAGCAAAAGAATATCATGAGGTAGAACAATATGAAGTTCTTGATTCAATATAAATATATATAAATAACTTTTTGAAACTGTAAATAAATTGAGTTCATTACCCTCTTATCTGGCTTTTTTAAAGCTGCTTCATTTTGAAGTATCAAAATTTACAAGATTTGGTTTAATTGATTAATATTACTATGATTAAATTATAAAACAACCATATAAATAATAAAAAAAGAAAGGGGTGTGGCAGCTTAGTGAAGTGGTCAAGTCATTATCCTCTCCAAGTAGCAGGTTTAGGGTTCAAATCCCACGGACGACGAAAGTTTGAAAAATAGGCTTGCATTATGGTAACGGATCTTCATTAAGTTGGGGCTTAGATTAACCTGTAACTTCGGGTCACACCAATGCTCTGTATTGGA